TGATAGTAAAGTTGAGTAATATGGCGAGTGCCTGTTTTCCAGGTTGTACTTATGAATATATATATATATATATATATATATATATCCAGTACTCCGTCTGAAGAGAGGAAACCACGGGATGAGGGCTGTTTGGTCTCCCCAGGAGCAGTCTTTTTCTGACTTAAGGACGATTGCACACTAAATGTTGACTAACGAGGAAACCTATTGGTGTTTTTCTAGATCAGACAACTTCCTTCACGAAGGTCTTTCCTTTAGAATTACTGTAATTATATTTTTCCTTAAACATAGTACATTGCTACAGAAAATACTTGGGCTCTGATGACAACTGCGAGATTTTTGCCTGGCTACCTCACATTTCGTTTTTTGTATCAGAGACAGTAAGAGGGAGCATTGCACGCATTGGACTCATCGAGCCAGCAACAAGCGTTAACTACCCGGTAATTGATTGATTTCGTAGGCCTTCTTTTGTGGAACCGATGACAACCGATCGCTTTATGGAAAAGCAATTCTCATCGATGTATGAAATTACTTGGTGAAAGAGTACCGGGCACAAAGACGAACTTCGACCGAAGACAAAAAAATGAATGTATAGCTCACCAGAAACTGCTGTACCATTGTTTTGAATCGTCAAGTCTTTCGGTGTTTTATGATACCATACTGTCTTAAATACACGGCTGAATTTCTCACGCTGATACAAAGCAATCGTGCAATCGGCATATTGCCCACTTTTGGTTTTGCATCGAAGTCCTAATAAGAGCAGGCCGCATGGCTGGAAAGTTCTCAGAGCACACGAAAGAACTAATCCTAGACTGTTTGAAAGTGCTCACTTCTCACTAGAGTTCAAGCCTTTTCAGAGTGAGTGAGAAACTCAGTCCGATGTTCAAAGCTTGTCTCATGCTCTGCGTTTCGGGCGCCAACGCACCCGGTGGTGATGAAACCCGGTCTATACACTGCTCCTTTGGTTACGGATGGAGAAAAAGCATGGCAAAAGCCATATGGACATTCGTGTTACTGAAATGAAAGTAAATCTGTGTAGCTAACCGGAAAGTTTACACATGAAACTATTATACGCGTACCAATACTTCGAAAGGAGGATTAGGTTTGCATGCTCATGTAGTAGGATTCTTTCGTATTCTTTTTTAAACTACCGAAAGTTCGTCCAAACTCGTGTTTTATGGTCACATATGTGGGGGACCTGTTTCTCCCCGTACTTCACATTTTCCTTCACCAGAACCTTATGCTACCCAGCAGAGATGCCTCGGATTGGTGATACGTGTGTATAAAGCGGTTCCTTAATAACACTCAATTCATCTACGTTTTGAGACCACCTTTTATTCTTGTTCTTCATATCTCCTCAGGTTGTTGAGCGAAAATCTCCACTGGTTCAGTCTGAAACTGAGATGACCCCAACAGAACCACCTGCTGCCTCTAAGCCACCTTCCACTAGGAATAAATCCCGCGTGATGCCTCCAGTCTCCATCCCCCCTCATTCGTCTTTACATAAATTTGCAACAAGAAGGTCCGAAACGAGTACACCTAGTACTGGTGCCATGAGCGTGAGCAGTGGAGGCGAAGGGAGCAGAATTGTAGCGCTTACAAACACAAGCCTAGAAAGTGGTTCTTTATTCGATCCTGGATTAAGCAAGCATACTACAACATCAGAAGGCACACAGGAAGATGCAATAAACAAAGGTGAGGTGGACAAGAGTGGTGTCAAAGTCACCACTAAGAATGCAAAAAGTCACGTTCAGGAACCATCCAGTCGTCGTCAGCGGTCCATGGAATTGTCAGGTCCTACAGAGATGAATCAAAAAAGCACGGCTTCCAGAACAGCTGCATCTACTCCTGGCTACAGACGGGGCAGGAAATCCGTTGGAGTTTCCGGGTAATCCGAATATTTTTATGCTAAAAAGTGACTATTGTAAATAACCTTATTTTCATCAAGCGTTATGTTGTTTACAGTGCAGTGCATGGAGAATGTATCATCTCTGATATGTGATTTTGGTGCACCACAGTGAAGAGCACGGAATGAAGTGGTCAACCTTGAATGTGGAGAGCATTAGATAACTTAGTGGTTGAGGCGAGATCTAGCCGGAAGGTCCTCGGTTGGAGCGTTTCTGTGTACGCCTGTACATCCCATCAATATCTCAGTCGTTATGCTTACTTCGGGCCGCATGACAGCTAGACACTGAAGGGGTGTTGCAGCTGAAAGCCTGTCTTATTTTTATGCCAAAGAGATCGGTCGTTTGTCGTTTTCAAGCTAGATAGCAGCTTAGACTGATTCCTTCACTACTGGGAGGGAGAGTTAATAACTTCGTTTCGGCCAACCAGCTGCTGACAACTTTAGAAAGGGTTTCCTGTCTGATTGTTCATATTAACCTCTATGGCGATTCCTTAATCTACCTTAATTGCCTGAGGAGCAGTTGTAATAAGTGTTTGAAGGCACAACTAATGCCTAACCAACGCCTAAACTTAGTAGTTTCAAAATGAATGACTCAGTTCAGGACGAATTGACTACTTTCAAAAGCCGAAGTTAATCAAGACCACTTTCACAGACGCGTCAGTGGTACTTTTTTTTGTGATGCTGGTAGGCACCTAGCTGATTTTCTCTTACCTGACGAACAGTGAGTTTCCATCATAAAGTAATCAGTTCAGAGATAATATAATACGGCTTAATGTCCTATGCTTCAAAAGATTTACTTAGTGTTATTGTCTTCTTAGGCTTCCTAATGGTAACAACGAGTTCGTTGTGTGAACCATGTAACAGTTGTGCGAAAAAATATTGAGGAGTTGTACCCATCTTAGAGGTTAAGGACTCAAAACTACTGACTGGAAGGTCCGTGGTTCCAGCCCACTGGTTTTTCTTATGCGCCTGTCTAGGTTTGAACCACCTGGCAATATTCCCGCCCTCGTGACTCATAAATTCACGACAGCCACGTACCGAAAAGACGCCACAGCTGGACTACTATTATTATTATTATTATTATTATTATTATTATTATTATTACTATTTACGAAAAGTTCGACAAATCTTCACCCCAGAATGCTTTACCTGACAAACCAATCACACTGTTGCATTTTTTAAAACGGTTCTCCCAGCTCTCGCCACTACTGCTTTATTCGATATTATTAGACCTCTGCCGTATCTCGATCCAGTGCACCAACAAACCCCAGCATGAGTCACGTGTTACATGTGGGATTCAATACCAGCACCGAAAAGTTCACGTGACCAAGTCACGAGTCTCGTCCATCACTGTACTGACAGCTGACGGGCGGCCAAATCGAATAGAAACAATGTGTTTACGATGTGCGAAAGCCCCACCCGAGAATGGGCTTTAAACTAATATCTCGTCGTTAGATCTCTCCGACTTCTGCTATCGCCCACAAATCGTTATCGTGTGTTTTGACATAAATGAGGACTACGTAACTTGCATGAATTTTCTGAATGTCACGCAATGACAGCCCGCTGCAGAGAAGTTCTACCGAGACTCGTGCAAATGACAACGGAAATTTCGAACCGTGTTTCGATCGTTATTCTGTAAAACCGCGTCACGTGCGCGTGTACATTTCGGACATACGATGCGACGGAAAATGAACTTCTGAAGATCGTTTTACATCGATGCACATAGTTAAACATTCCTTGCGTCACGTCGCTCCAGCAGAATTACTCTGAATAAAATTTCCTCCATTAGTTAGTTGAATTAAGAAGGCTAGTCCATATAAAATCGAGATTTTCTATGCACAGGGGCTACATAAGCTTACAACAAACCATGTCCCACAACCGAGACAGCCACTGTCATCCAAAATTCAATCACCAGGTGAGCACTTCAACTAAGGAAATTTTAAAAAGGAGCCACCACAGCACGGTGTAATCAATGGGAGGTAAAGCGCTTTGCCTTGCAATATTGCCTTCATACATCAACTAATCCTTCTAATGACCGATGATGAATTACGTTTATACGGATATTGCTGCAGTTCCAAAACACGCCTAGTGCCGTAGAAATTATGGACCGCATACCAGTAACATCCATAGGGCAAGCACAATGTCCAGTTTGAGCGGGCTTACATGAAAACCTGTGCCTCTTTATGAGGATTACAAGGTACCTCCAATAACTAAGGTAACCTCATCCCAGTTTTGTGAGGCTTGACTTCGAATAGTTACCTTTCAAGTGGTGGCTCACAACTCACAACGAAAACCAAACCAGGTATTCCTTTGGCGTCTAATTCCATTTCTGACAGCAATTAGGATGAAAAACATGTGAACCACTATAGAACCACTACACAAGGACACACTGATGACGTCAGGTCGATTGGTGTCGAAACGTTTGCGAGAAAATTGCCTATCTCAGTCAGCAGTCATTAACCATCTATGTTTACTGGGCTACCTAAATCCTCTTCACCTAAATCCCGCTTCCACTCCACACTAAGCTCGTCAGTTTCGACAGTGAGATCTGAAATTGTGGAGACCGTTGTCGTTGGTCGAACAGAAATCTCGATTCATATAGAAGCTTCATAAATACCATTTTCGTTATCGGGTGGACAATGCATGCGGCTTTTTCATTTTTTCACTTGTTTTTTTGGGTATATTGTGATTGTCAGGTTAGGGTTTCGGTCCAGGTTGTGTCCTCGCATTTGCTTCTTGTATGTACATCAATGTTTTTTCTCATAGCATTTAGACAAATTAGTTTTATGCGTGTTTGCTAGGTTTGGCGATCTGTTTGCAAATATTTTGTTAGCCTTTGAAAAGACACTATTAGTGGGTGGCTGAAATAGGATAGACTTGGCCGTGAAAACGAAATTCATCCAAATCAGCACAGTTTATTAACCCATCACTAACATTTTCGTATGCATCTTTGAATAAAATATAACGCAAACAGCGATTCAGCTGTTCAATAATCTTTGCTTCCATGACAGATTAAGTTCGTAGCACTGGATTTGTGGGGTGGTGATTCTGGGCAGACTGACTATCGCTGCTTTACAACTGCATTATGAGGCCAGAATTATCTGGAATACAACCGAACTGCTGTTTATCCATAGGACCAGTCTACGGGCGTTTGCCGAACGTTCACACTCATTGAGCAAAACTCGACTACCAAGTTAAACAGGATTTCCAAGAGTTTATTCGTTCAAAATTAACGAACAAATATCGCATTTGTTTAAAAATATGGGTCGTTTGACTAAGTGCAGCGCGTGTTGCTGCAGACCCTAAACCAAGCATACATAAATAGTGGGCGGACATCTGAGTACAAATGGCTTACCACATTTCACAGCTACTCGTTGGCTTGGATACTGCTTGTAAATACCTTTTTTATATTCGGTACGTGGATATTTTAGATTATTCACTCTCCCCCAGGCAACTTTGGTTCACAAACCGCACTTACAAAAACAGGGACAACAAGTTTTGTATGTCATCAATACAGGACAGTAGTCAGCTTCGAAGACAGCCACTTCAAATACTCTTTGAAAATAGGTTAGTTAAGTAATCCTCCAGAGCTGAGTAAACGTTTTCTGTGAGGCATTTATGCAGTAAGCTCAGGCTATCTACTGGGGTAAACGTTCGTCATCTGTCATCTGAAGTTCACTAATTTATCAGCGTAAATCATCACTTCCATAGTAAAGCTGATTAGGATAGTTTCAGTTATCTTTTTTCTCGTGAAAAATGGATTATACACCACAAAATTCTTTTAATTGTACATCTTGGTGTCATGGGTTTATTGGGATTATCGATTCATTCTGCGTTGGCTTCTGTGACTTTCGCAGTATAAACTAAGTTAGAGGATATTGTGGAACTTGGAACATATACCTATGTACTGTTACACACGCCATTAAAGTCTCGCAGAATCAGAAAGCTGTTACCCTCTAAATGGTTTTGTACTGAAGAAGTCAGTAAAATCACATTCTGTCAGTGGTCATCAGCAGGTTCAAGTATATTGATCACAATCAGTGTTCTTAGTCCCGAATAGCCTTCTCCATTAAAATATATGGTCTAGCACAACCTGCTGTTCTGACCTCGAATGATCTCCCTGCACGGCTTCCATAATGGACCAGATGTTCACAGTGTCAGCTTAGTCCGCATCTTTGATTCATTAAGTGGATATCTGGAGAAGCATGTGGCACATCTGTACGTGACTTCTGTCGTAAAAAATCTCAGTCAGCCTGATGTCTTTTCAATAAGCTGTTTTCTTACCCCTTAGGGACTAGTCAGTCAGAATCAGGTGAATTATCGGGCCCCTGTGCATATTTGGTAGGCCACAACTTGTTTCTCGGGAGACAAGGTTGTTTCTACATGTCAGTCCTTGGTACTGATTTAGATTTTAGTGCATCTGCTTGGCAGCTACACGTGCAGAAGCCTTTTGTCATCCATCATCACGACGAGCGCGGCTCATTCTCTTTATCAATGAGCTGCCGGCGTCGTCCATCAATAATTTCTGTATGTTTCGGCCTAATAACGCACTCCATTCATTACAATATTGCCCCTTAGTTCCCCTGGCAAGCCATTAGCATATTTTCCTTATTTATAAGGGCTTGTACAGGTCGAGATTCTGTGTATCGGTTACTTTTGACCTGAGGTCTTTCGGTGAACCTACTTCCTGAATCATGCGATGGAATGATCCCAACCCTCTGTCCCAAGTTTTCGTCTATAGAAAAGGTAACTGACATAGCCTGATTGAACATACTGGAAAAAGGTTGCTGTTCTCATCAGCTGGAAGCCAACAAGAGACGCCCCTTACGTCATAGGGAACACGCAAGCTACAGATACCAATGTCACTTATGATGACGAGGAGGGCTCCTGTTCTACGTACAGCTACACTGAAAGCTCGCAAAAGTGATGCCGAGAAGTGATGTAGGAAGCCGTGATTTTACATTACGGCGAACGATTATTCCAGAAACCTTTTATTGAACTATGAGGTGAGGGCTTATGAACCCACTCAGAAGACTTTGCAAGAGGAGAGGACTTTGTGGAGATTGTTATGTTGATGGTGCACGATTAGACTCGTGAAAGCACAAAATCGTAGATCAGAAATTCACCCAAATATCTCTAAGTAGTCTTCATTTAGACGCATCTTGAAACAGCTCACTGCTTATACGGCGTTCTACCCAGTTTTCCTCACTTAACCTCTTTTCAAGTCGGGATTTTCATTTCACTTCACACGCACAGCACAGCTTAACCCTTTATTTCTCTAAACCATTAGATTCCCGGCCTTTTCCTGGTGTACCGGTCTACACAAGTCCACTGGATGTGCGAGTATGCTAGGAAGTGGACATCGCAGTCTCCCGATCAGTGCCACATCGAATCGACAAAGCCAGTCAGACACCAGTGGCGAAGGGCAGTCATCCAAAGGTAGACAAAGAACAGCTTCCGGTTCTCGACCTGTTCCCGTTCCACCGCCCGGACCAGTGGTGGTGGAAATCGTGCTTAGTCGAGGTACCAAAAGCGGACTTGGGTTCAGCATAGCTGGTGGGGTTGGAAATGAAACAGTGGACGGGGATACCGGGATCTTTGTTACAAAAGTTAGTGTATGGAATAAATGTTCCTCCAAATCAAATAGTGAACTGTCGTAAAACTAAGCTCTATCTGTTTTTAACTCAATATTACGTTCTGAATGCGAGTTCCAGTGCAGAGATAACTCGTAAAATGTATTGACTGCAAATGTTGTTTGACCATGGCTGAACAGATGAAGACGTATTCTGTTTTGCTGATGAACCGGTTTTTAATCGTCAGTCAGTTTATGCAAACTGGAACAGGATTAACTAAGTTTGATGAATGCACGTTGTTTGGTTCTTACAATACCGACCTCGTGAGTGACTATTTACAGATGAATTGAGCACTATCACAACAAGAATGAGGAGAAACCCACTTGGAATATTTCCATCCTAAAGGAAATTACTTCTAATTTACAAGCCTGATTGTCGTTGTTTTTATTTCGCACATGAGATGTGCCAGATTGCAGTGTGGTTAGCAACGCTTGTCTCAATTTTCGCCGTCTTAGGAGACAGTCTAATTCCGATAACGGAAGTGTAGCATTGGTATTGATATTAATATTTGTATTCGACTTCGATTACCACGAGCCGATTTGGCTCTGGTTAATTGCGTGGTGAAATGAATGAGAAAATCCTGTCAAGAATACCTCTATCAAAAAACTGTGTGACCTGTTTGACTGTTCAGCAAAATACTGTCGAATACTTGCTACACTGCGTCCGTATGCATACACACTTTGTACGTAAATCCTCACCGCTCCCTGTCGTAAGTTAACAATGCCAGACACAATTAACCAGCCATGGACATGCTACTTAAGTTGTCCGTGGTTAGCAGAATGTCCACCAGTCGGCTGTAGCCAGCCACAAAACGTATTTGGTCGTATTATTGCTTCAGGTCATCTCACATCATATTTACATTTCCCAGATCCTGATGACAGCCATTCAGTTGCTCATAAAGGGACCGATTGACTTCAAGCAAACGTTGACTTCAGACACACACTCCACTAATTAGCTTCATAATCTTTCGAATAAGCACACTTCTTGCCTTGTGATGAGAGAACATTTTTCCACATCTAGTTAGCTACAGGACGCCTGTAACACACGCAGACGGATCTACTACCTCTCCTTCTATCAGTGGATTCACATTTGGGAAGTAAAATTATTCATACTGATGCATGATGTTGCAACCTCTTGCTTGCTTACATCACTTAAGAGCGCGTTTACCCTCAGAGGGGTAATCCAGTTCCATCGCAGAATGCAACCCTCACCCTCGCATGACGGATATCAATATTTGCGCAGATTGTAGTTCAAGTTATTTGGCAGCGTTGGACACGCAATAAAATCAAGCGAATTTTTGCCCCGAGGGTCGTGCAAAAGCCATCCTCCATATAAGAGCATACGATCCTCGTGGGAAGAAATTTAGACCCGATTGTGGTCTCAAATATGCAAAGGAGACAAAGTATCTGCTTTGCTCTCATAGGAGGAACATCACAATAGAACGCCTTCGAACAGCATCTCCTGGCGGACAACCACGAAGGCCCCCAGCACAGTTGCTGTATTTTTGCGCCAAATAAACGCGTTTTTACGAAGATGGTTTGATTGACATTGCACTCGGTTGAATGTCGACTGAAGCTTCTGACACAATGCAATAGGATATATTTGCAATCTCCTAATGCTTATTGGAGCACCATGTTTTTACGATCTTTTTTGTCGTACTATTACAAAAAATATCTTCTTTCATGTATTCGTAC